ACTTCAAATTGTATTTTAAATTAGATGTTGTGATGTTTGTGCACAGATTTTTATTGCCTTTTTTCTTTCTGCTTAAAGGAAAGATTTTAATGTGTTACTTACAAGTATGTATCAGAGGGTTAACTTTTTAGAAAAAATTAAGTACGGCAGTTAAGCTTGTATAATTAGGGATGAATATCCTCTAATATGTATCTAAATCATCTTCCTTTGATGTTACTTCTAGTTCCATCATAACGTTTTACTATTCATTATACCTTCTCAAGCCATTGCGTAGACATGCTTTATCCAGAGTTTTCTCAGCTTTTAACTACTTAGGGACTGACAGCACTTAGCAAGTTTTCCCTCTTTTTTACAACTTTTTGCCTTCGTGATACCCTTCCTCAATTCCCTCTGCTACGTGCACACTCTGTACATGAACACTTGCTTCACAGAACATTACTGCGATCAACAGATCTGTTGCTATGTCTAGCTGATTTTGTAAGTTGTTGTCCTTTGAAGGAGTGCCCCGTAAAACAAACAAAAAGACCTACCGAGATTATTAGATTACTGTGGTTTTGGAGCACTTTTTCTAAAGCTTAAACTGTGATTAATGGAAACACCTCTAGGGTTACTCAAAGTTAATGTTCATCTAGGTAGTCTTGGCTTTATATGGTACTCCTAGATATGCTTACCTATGCACTGTTGGCCTTGCAAGGTCCTAGTCCCTAGAAGGTCCCCAGTGCTCCTTTCTGCTTCTCTCTGAAGTTTGGCTGTTGTGGATGTAAGGCCTCCTTAACTACCTGCAAAATCCAGCCATCCCTCATTTTGCCATCTGTAACTTGTGTCAGCTTCTCACATCGCTATCTGTCATGGCTGGCAATTTCTTGTGTCACGTCCAGTAGTTTCTCACATCCTGCTCAGTTAGCTTAACTTCAAGCCAGGACCTAATGAGCAGGTTATTATAAACTAATAAATAACCAATTTAAAACTAAACATTAAAAGTGATGGTCTAGGCTAAAGCCTATTGTAAGTAATAGATTTTGAAAATTCTAGTAGTACAAGGTTTAGTGTGCCTCAGCTTACTAACCTAGCCATTGATAAAGAACTTGGAACAGAAGTTCGAAGTGGTATCAGGTGCTTGGCAGCTTTAGCATCTTCTCCAGATCTAAGGAGAATATTTTGCTTACTTTGGTTTAATGCTACTTCTTTTAGTTATGAGAATAAAAGAGTACAGGCTTTTCCTTCTGTACTCCAGAAATAAAAAATGAGTTATAAGGGGTCTTGATGTAGTAGTTCTGAAATTTTGATGATCATGGAGGTGAGTCAGTTATGATCACTTGACTATACAGCTCTCCGTTGCTTTAATAAATCGATTTTAAATGCAGACCGTAATCAAAGATTAAACTCTTTTCCTTTTGATTCCCACACATTTAATGTAGTTTTTGTAGAAAGCTCATAAATACGAGTCTAAGGACCAACTTAATCAGTTTTCATTCAGAGCTTGATATAAATCAGAATTAAAAAAAATTAATAAGGAAACAGTAGTCACTCTAATATAATACACAAATTCAGGTAGTGAGAAAGAAAAGAGAAAATTTTTAATTGCTCTGAAGTTGTGTGCAGTATAGAGTGTCATGCAGGATGGTAAAATTAATTCTAACTACTGTGTAAAGGGTATATTTAGGTGAGTTATCAGCATGCATTAATATCAGTTTACCACAGAGAACAATTTTTTCTTTAAGAATGGAAGCAAACAAGATTAACGTTGATATTTTAAGTTGTAGGAATTATTTGACTGCTAGTTAGATCAGTTATTTAAGTCACCTTGTTGCAAAGTAATTAAAGGTAGCTTAAATTTTCTTGTTTTGTTGGATGAAGTACAGAAGACAGCAGTCCACAGCTGAACAACAAATAATCAATTCAGCCTTGAGGTAACGTGTTTTTCCCCTTCCCTTTTTCTTAGGTTCCACCACATCCATCAGGTCCTCCTGTGGTTGGTGCACTCCAACCACCTGCTTTCACAGCACCTTTAGGAATCCCACCTCCTGGATTTGCTCCTGGAGTGCCACCACCGCCGCCGCCTCCTTTTTTACGACCTGGTTTCAACCCAATGCATTTACCCCCAGGTATATTTATATATTTTCAGGAATACTAAGTCCTTTTTTTTTTTTTTTCAACAGTATAGCAAAGAAAAGTGTCTGCATTATAAACTGCACAAGTATGTTTTGGTAAAGTGATACTCAGTGTTAATATATACTTTTTGATAGGCTTTCTTCCTCCTGGACCACCACCGCCTATAACTCCTCCAGTATCTGTTCCTCACACTCCGGCAGTAAACATCCCAAACTGTAAGTGTTTAAATCTTGGGCAAGCGGCAGTAGAAGGAAGGTATCGCGCAAGCAGAAAAGCTGACTTGTTTTAATATGTCAATGCATTGTTCCTTAGCTACAGCAACTGGTGTAAATGAAGACACTACAAAAGATTCATCTGTAGGAAATCCCATCCCGACAGTGGTTTCTGGATCCAGAGGGAATGCTGAAACAACCGATAGTTCCAAAATATATGGGACTGTTCCACCTCCTGTAGCACCTACTAATGTACCTGCTCCTGTCACCCAAGCTATTCCACTTCTCGGTAAGTTCCTTTTTGTATATATTCTGCAGTTTTATCGTGCCCTGAATTTAAAATATGTTTTTGATTTTGCTGCTTACTTACAGTTTGTGGGAAATTAAAGCAGCTTTTTTCTAAACTTGTTGAAATTTCTGCCTTTCTGTTGCTTTTAAATAATTTTTGAGACTTGATTTTGCACCAAAGGAGCAGTACTTTTTTTATTATTGTTGAAGATCTGTTTTCTGAAGAAAGAAAAAAGCTGTGTCAGTTACAAATTCAGGACAGAACGAAATGCTATCTACTTTTAAGAAATTAAAGTTTAAACCATATAGAAAATTAACTTACAACAAAAATCTGTATGACATAAACTATATTTTAGACTCAACTATTACGTGTATAAAATTAACTTACCGAGAAACGATATTTTTTAGTGTATTTTTTAAATCTGTGAAAATATGGTATGCTTTTTCCATATGGAATAAATTATTTGAATAAAATGAAAAAAAAAACAAAAGCTTTTATTCAGCCCTGCAGTATTACAGGTTTTGAAACTTTAACAGCATGTTACCTTATTGAAATATTACAAATGGTATTTTGACTAGTAAAACCAAGCTAACTTTGGCTATCTTACATAAACGACTTTTTGCGATACGATATGAACTCAGTCAGATGTTTAAAGAGAGTCTATACTGTTTAATGTTACAGAGGTCTGTTAAATATTTATTTTAGGGTGGTCTTTTATGGGTCACTGTCAAGAATATACTCAAGAGACTTTTTTCCTACAAATTTTAATGAGATTATTACATTTATGGGATTTCAGACCTCTAAATGAGACCCTAACAAGTGAATGAAAAAGATAATTTTCAGTGTGTTTCTGCCCAGAACTTTACAGTGTATGCTGAAAAAAACCCCAGAGATTTGTCTACCTGAGAGCTTACTGCTCTGTTGGATTCGATGACTACATTTTCCAGCCATGACTAGTGATTTTTGGATCCTTCATGTTGGAAACTCGAAATGAGACCCTTTTAAAAGGCGTTTTCCAAAAAGTGGAGGGGTGCTTCTCTCTGAAAATCAGTCTGCTGCTAAAAATCCATCAAACCAGATATGCAAAGCCAGCAGCTAATTGTTTTAGAGTATCTCAGATACTTGGCAAACAGAGAAAAGCTTAAAAAAATTTGTGGTCACACCATGGATTGAGAGAATTTTGTAGTGATAAGGATTATCGGACTATACATTTAAGATATTCACATCTTAATCATGAAGTTACTTTATTACCTTTACAAAAAGTGTATTACCAGATTTTTGAAGTTTCATGTTACTATGTCTTTTACAGCATAACTTGAACTTTTTATTCCAAGCCCTTGGAATATATTAAATTACTCTGCAGTTTGCTGTATCGCTATGTGCATAAGAAAAAGGTTTTACAAAATTAAGATTGGAGAGAAGTAGATTACATACCCACATTAGATACTTCAACAGTAGCAGGTTTTATTCATACAAATTCAAGGAAACTGAATTTGATAAATCTGAAGATCAAGAACTTGCCTTTGTTTTTATGAAGTTGTTTACTAAATAGTTGAGGCAGATAAAGTTGTCCACGTGGTCAGAGTGACTTCTTTCAACGTTCAGTCTCATCAAGAAGGGGATAGGAGAGGTTTTTTTCTTTTGATGAGATTGCACGTGTGAGCTTACAGAGTAGTCCTGAAGTAATAGCGTAGAGATATGTGTGTTTACTTCCGTACTAGCATTTTATGTTGATGAGTATCTTATTTCAAGAAGTTATTTATAATCCCGGAGTTACGTAAAATTCTTCTATCCTGACATTTCGGAGGGAAGGGGGACTGTTCACAATCTGATATAAGATACAAGAAAACTAGTAGAAACAGATTTTAATATTTTACATGATTAAAGATAAAATACCGATATCAGTTGTCTTTGCTTTTAAAACTTTTCAGTAAATTAACACAAATGAAACTTTTCTTAAAACCACTTTGATTTGCTTATCAGTTGAGCTTAGCTCTGTGTGTGAGGGTCCAGATCTGGTCTCTCCTTAGGCTGGAAGAAAAACATGAAAGAGGTGATGTTTTCCACCATTCACGCTGATCTAGGTAGCAAAGAAGTGTCCCTTGAAGTCTTGCCCTCCCCATCCTCTGAATTCAAGAGCTGGCTGGGCTGCATCATCGTTCCTTCCTTTTCATTCTGTGTGTCAGGTTTCACTCCTAGGGAAATCAAACCATGGGAAATGGAGTGTGCCAGGGTTTCTCCATGTGTGCGGACGTGAGATGCAATCTACATACGCATCCCAGTCCCGGAGTACTTGCAGGCGTGACAATTTAAATGTAGCCTTAGCGTCTGACCTACAGTCTCGTACAGGTCAGACGCAAATGAAGCTGACAAGGTAAATGAGTAGGTACAGCATTGCCCTCAGTTAGCCGTGGGAGAGTGCAGACCAGGGAAATCAAGTGCTTCCGACTGAAGGACCTCATGTTCACAAGTACACAGTTTAGCAATTTGAATAGATGACTGATCGTGAGACTGGTTTCTCGTGAAGTCCTCAAACTGCTCGTTAAACTTTCTCATGATGTGGCTCTCCAAGCTGAGATGAGAAGGTGGAAGAAAGATTTGTTTGACAGCATCATGAAGCATGTCGTGAGGACTCTGCTTGGGGAAATAGGGATGAAGGGGCTTGAATAGTTTAACGTGAAGAATGAAGAAGTGTTCTTCGGCTATTTGGGCAGGATAGAAGAACTTACTTCAGCAGGCTGAATTGAAGGAATGAAGATTGCTCTGAAGAGACTGTCATAGAAATCTAAACCTTGCTTGCGAACACCTTATGTAACCTGTACAAACACAGGAGCTCTTTTCTAATTTTTGTAACTTCAAAATGAAGCTTATCTATCTGTTCCGTTTTTATATGGAAGATATGTTACAAAGTAATTCTAAATTGATTATTGTAAGATTTCATATGCTTTCTTAGTAATGTAAGTTACATTCTGTTTCATCTCCACTAATTTCATTCGTTCCTCCAATGTAATTCTTTCATCACTTCCAACAAAGACATGTCTGTGCTTCAGAGGAGTGATTCCTCGTGGACATTGTTTCTGAATTTTTTTGTGCTTATTTCTAAAAACCACCCTCAGGTTGTTTTGATTTAGTTGTATCCATGATCATACTCGCTGCTGTTATAGCTTCTTGTTCTTCATTTGAACAAGATTATCCAGACTGTAACTGGTTTTATGAGTGTGTGCTCATATGTCATTTTTTAAGTGATCTGCAAAGCAGGTATTTTTAGACTTTTACATGTGCATATTGCAGAAAGTGACAGGCTTTTAAATCATTTTTGATTTGCCAACTTGTTCTTAGTGTTGAGCAAATGCTGTAATTTGGGCCAGTAATAAACTGCTGTTGCAGATGCTGTGTTTTTGAATATTCAGATTCTGTGATCTATTCTCTTGATTAAATACACCATATTGCAGTTTGTAGGTTCTGGTCTAGTGCTCTTTTTAACAAAATTTGTACAATGATAATTACATATTATCAAACATTAATTATACTGTAGTTCTCTTCGAACTTGGTATTCATTTCCTGTTGACGCATACTGAATTACTGTTCTTTTCTCCCTTGCTGGTTCTTAAGTAACTACATGGCCTTTTTATAAGCTGCATTAAATTCTAAAAGACGGACTACAATATTCTCTGAGCTCATCAGAGTATTACTGGATTATAATGTGGATGCTTCCTTCACAGGAAGGATAAGCTTTTTTATTCCTACAGGATATGAACAGTGATTAATACATTTCCAAATTTCTTGTAATTGCCCATTTTAAAAGCATAACAAACACCGCATGTTTGCTAAATATATATATGACTGTTGCTTTCATAACGCTACCGAATGAGAATTCAGAGGTAAGGGAACATGAACTCTCAAGCACCATTCATGGAATTCAGTTTTGCTTTGGTGATTCCCTTGACCTGCATCAGTTTAGTGTTTATTTTTTATAAAGCAGGAATTTTAGAAGTCTTAATACCGATAACTGACACTGTACATACAACATAGCTTGACTCTCACATCCTTGTTGAAGCATCTTACGTGAATAGGAGCAAGCTCCTACTGGCTTCGGTGATGGACACCGACTACCCTGAAAAATGTTGGTATTTATGGCAAGTTATTTAAGCTCTGAATCGGTATTTAGGCTCTTAAGTTTAGGCTTTTTTCTTTAGTCTTGGCCTGGTCTAAAGGATTCTGTATCAGACTCCAGAAAAAGACACAAGATTTAAAACATTGTCCTCTTCCAAGAATTTCCTGGTAGTATTTAATGTTCTAGTTTTACGATGCAGCATTCCCCATGGGAGAATGATAGGAGAACTAATATGGCATGCTAAATGTTGCAGAATGTCAGCATCAAACTCAAACTGTAAACCTTTAGTCTGTTCTGCTGGAATCAGAGGCTTTTGACATCTTCTTCTCATATATATTTCCATCAGACTTGCAAAGGAGGTGTATTTGAAGCGGGATTGCTGTGTCACATGCAGGAAACACCATTCCTCCGCTTGCTTTCTTGTAACAGCCCAGCTGAGAAGTAATGTAATGGATTATGAGAGACACTGTAATCACTTACGGAGCAAAGTTCAGTTTAAAAAAAAAACAAAATCAGATGCTACACTTCTCAGTTATGTTAGCATTTGTAACACTCAGAATTATCACAAGGGAACATGGGCTTTGTCCAGCCAGAAGAGAAATCAGATGTGGAATGACAGTGACACAGAAATCTGGCCTTTTACCTGATTTATCAAAACAGTAAGGGGACGACTCCTGTGACCTCTCTGGATGGAAGACACTTCTTCAGGACAGCTATAGCATTTTGGGCTATGTCTTGCGAGTAAAGTGAAATTATGAAACTCTTGACACTGTGTGATTGTTCTTGCATCTCTGAAACACCACTTGTGGTTGGTGATGGGTTTTCCTAGCACACTTGCATCTGCCTTCATAGTAAACACTCTCCGTAAGTTCTGAGGACCTTTCATTATGCATCACTGGTAAAAGTTACAAATAAAAATAAGTTGTGAAAGCAATCTATATTTTTTACACATGTGACCAGAATAACATATTAGGTGTAAGGTCTGAGGATTATATCACCAGTATTAAATGCCTTGTCTTGTAATAAAAGCCATGTCTTAACCCAGTTATGCAGAATAAGCAGCTGGTGAAAGGGATGGTTCTATTTCATACCCGTAAGTAAGAAGACAAGGTTAGCTGCTACAAAAAGGCTTACAGTTACAGACAAATGAATAAAATACAGGCTGGGGCAGATAAAGTCCGTCACTTGTCTGCACAGGTATGAGATGGTCATTCAATCACTTGATTGTTTCTCTAGGAGCTCTGGCACTTGTTTTCAAGTTTGACACACTATTTAAATTCTTCATTTTATAAGACAACAAAGGGCTTTACATTTTCCTAGACGTTCCTCGTGCAATCTGTACTGCTAATTTCACTGAGTGTTTTCAGTAAACTTGGAGTGTTTTTCCGGACAGCTCTTTGAGAGTCAATTTTGAGTTGGTGCCTGATTTGTCATGACAGCAAGGAAACTCTCATAGTGTACCACTGTCTACTTTGGCCTCAAAATTTGAGTGGGCTGATTTAAAATAAAAAGCATTCATCTCCCCTGCTGATGCAGTCCAAATTGAAAGAGCATGAGTTTCAGATACCCTTATGCTGCTTCTGTGCTGCATTTTGTGTAGCAATAAGCTTGAGAAATTAAATTACTCCTACTGTTAAATTTAAAAAAACCTTTAAACACTTGACCTCATGTTCATGCTGTTGTAACCCACATCTGCTCCGCTGCTGTAGAGCAGAAGCACATGCTTATCCACTCCAGCTCGTTAGATCTCAGGTATTCTTTTCTGCCTTATTTTTAATCTGCTGTGGAAGAATTTACTTATCAACAAATATATCCCCAAACCTCAGAAATCAGGAAAATAATATTCTTGGAAGGCATCATTAGCCATATGTCTGTCTGGTCAGGTCTGTAGTGCTAAGTCATGGGAGGAGTTTAAACTAGGTGACTTACAGCCCTGGTTATGAACAGGAGGAGGGGGAGGGCTGTGCATTTTAAAGTTAAAAAGGGGGCAAAGAAAAAAAAACAAACAGAAAAAACATGCTGTTGCTGCTGGAACATTTCTTTCAAAGAGTGTGATCTATCAAGCCGTGTCTTAAAAGTGACTGCTTGGAGGGGAAGGTAAGATGATACCACAGACTGGAAGAATATTCACATCTTTGTTACCCGAGTTCTCCTGATCAGCAAAATAGAATTTCCTTCCAATCTGAATATAAAGAGCACTCAGATAAAAAGGTTTCTGTTAGAGATGTTCATCAGCAGAAGAAGTGGTGTGGTGAAAGGGCGACATAAGGTGTATGTTCTTCCAGAGGCTCAGGTATGTTTAGGATAGAAATGCTGAATAAGTCAGATGGAGGAAGAGGGAAGCAAAGGTAGCTGAAGGGAAGGTTACTTGAAGATGTCTGTTCCACTGTGCTCATTAAACTGAACTCAAAGTGCAGTTTTCATGACGACACTGCCAAATACTTAATTCTGGTATTAATTTACATAGCTATTTCACATTCTAGTTTTACCCAGGGCAGGAGTTACAAAATTGTATGTAGGCCACATGCCATTTGTATTAATACACGTGGAAATAAAACATTACTTACAGTCTCGCAAATTTATAAAGGAACACAAGATGGATTAGGAGAGGTTTGTGCTTGTTCTGCTGGCAACTGTCAATTCCTTTAAATTTCAGTTTGGGAGTTTAAAAAAACAACACATGCTTTCTCAGATAGGGAGCTTATTTTGAGGTAAATAACTGGTAGTGAGCAGAAAGAGCGGGAACAGATCCAGTACGAAAGCTACAGAGAACACAAGACGATAATGTTACTAGTTCAAACGAAAGGAGGCACGTGAGATAAGGCAGACACTTATTGCTATGAAGTGTCCATCTGGAGCTCGGTAATCCTCATTCGGTTTGGCTTGTTGTGTTGATGTCAACAAGCTTTGGGCTGAGCTTTCTCAACTGGTATGGTTTGAGAGTTAATTTTTTTTCCTCTTATGAAGACCGTGCTAAAAACAAAGAGTCCAGGAATAAAAATGGAAAATAGTTGGTGTTAGATATGTGCTATAAAGGATGGACAATTGTATTAAGAAAAATAATAATCTAGAAATTACCTGTTGCATTTCCTTTTAGTTGACATTGCAAGGTTTATTCTCCTAAAATTAAACTTTGTTGCATCGTCCCTTTTCTCCGGAAGGGTAACTTGACTTCTCTGTGATGTCCTGCTCCTCCTCCAGCCCTGTTCTGTCCTTCCCTCTCCCTTCATAGCTTACTGTATCCTCTGCCGCACATGGGAGGTTGCTGAGGACCAGTTGAACTCTCAAGCATGTTAGCCAGATACGAGTTTGCTGATTGTAATAGAGGAGAAATGTTAAAGCTAACTACGGGAGGTGAGGTGTCTTTAATTAGAAGCCTGGGAAGGTGCTTTGTCAGCAGTCAGTTGACAAGCAAGACACTGAGCTGGAGATCAGGAAGAGTTCCGACCTGCAAAATGGTGACAGCTTCTTCACAAAAGGAAGCCTTTGGGATAAGCAGTTACTACCATGGCAATAGTAATTACTTGTGTTTAAAGACGATGCTCTCCTTGCAGCATGCAGACCAGCACAGGAAGCTTTGCAGGCTGCTCTCTCCAACCCCCACCCTCAATTTTAGCATTGCTCATTTCATGAGATGATTTCAGAATGCTCTTGAAACGACGAAAATGCCTCCCCCCCCCCCTCCTGCCAGCCTCTGATTTTACTTTGTGCGTGTCTTTCTTTGTTTCAGGCACTCAAGGAGTTGCGCCACCCCCGCCAGCCCCTGTTGTTGGGTTGCAGACTCCATCCACTGGGCTCTTGGGTGCCCGGCCCGGTTTGCTACCGCTCCCGCGACCGCCAGGAATGCCATTTTGCGGTTCCCCTTGATGCCGCCGCGACACATGCCTCCCCACATGATGCACAGAGGGCCCCCGCCGGGACCGGGGGGCTTTGGGATGCCTCCCCCGCATGGAATGAAAACCCCCTTCCCACCACCGGGTCACTTTGTGAGACCTGGGGGGATGCCGGGAAGCGGGGGGCCAGGTGGACCCGAGGACAACCGAGATGGGAGGCAGTTCAGGAATGACCGGCAGACGTTCACGCCTAACAGAGACCAGGAAAGATTCGGAAGGAGATCTTTTGGAAATCGGGTAGAGAACGATCGTGAGCGTTACGGTAACCGCAACGATGACCGAGATCACGAGCGACTTGGTAATCGTGACAGGCGAGACTGGGGACGAAGAAGCCCCGAGCGCGATAGGCACAGAGACTTGGAGGACAGGAACAGGCGGTCCAGTGGCCATCGAGACAGAGAGAGAGATTCAAGAGATAGGGAGTCTCGTAGAGACAAAGAAGAAAGTCGAGGAAAGGAAAAATCGGAGATGACAGACAGGGCGGATGGCGACAAAAACCATGAATCTCATGGCGGCAAAATGGAAGACGCAGACGTTGTTTCAGAACTTGCTGCGGGAGAGTCTGACCCTACAGGTGCAAAACCTGTTGAAGAGTTGACATCTGAGGCTACCTCATCCGTGGAACAGGCGGAAAAGGATATGGGTGCAGTGTCGGAGGCTCCTCGCTAGAGACTGGAAGTCGTCAAAAGACGACAGTGACATTTGTTGGAGTGTAGAGCTTTAGAGTTGTACAGTCTGCTGTATTATATTTGCTTCTGCTTATATCACAGCCCCTCAGTAGTTGGTGGGGAATTGTAAGCAATTTGATTGCTTCCCTTCTATTTAAAATAGCCACAACATAACATGAAATACTGAAGATATGATTAAAATATTACCCATTTTTGCTGTAACTTTTTTAAAGTTTTGACTTTAAAAAGTTTACAAATCACAAGTAGAAGTGCTTTCTATTTTTTTTTTAATTTAAGAAAAGGTAACGGTGAAAGCTCCTCAAAACAATAGGGATGTGTTTTTAATAAACTCTATTTTCGTAACAAACTTTAACGTGTGCTATTCTTCCTACACTGCACTGAAGTGGAAAAGGAGTGTTCAACATCTTAAAGTTTGAACTGTTAATGCTGTACTGGAGTCTAAATTAGACTGTTTTGTTTATATTTGTTAAAAGAAATACATCTGTTTGTGTAGCTATTCACAGAAGCAAATTTTTATTTGTAACAGTCATCTTGATTTTTAGGTTGCTGCATTTTAATGATTACTTGACCATACTAGGTAAAAGTTAGTGGTTTTAAAATGTTAATTGAAGAGTTAACTGTTTAGTGTTTGCAATGCAATCAATTCTTTTTCTTTTTGCTTTCTTCCTCCTCCCCCCCCAACTGGTTCTGTGGTAAATGTTGCCCTAATTAGCCGTTTTTTAACAAAGTGGACACCTTCAGACATACTTTGTCTGCTCTGCTTGCAATGTTATAAAATTACTGTGTGCGGTGGGCTAGGAAGCACACCACTTCAGCAGCTTTTGTACTCGTTATTCATTGATGCTTTTTTTTTTTTTTGAAAGTGAGGTGAAAGAGAAATCAAAGACACCAAAACACAATATAAAACGCTTTTTTTTTTTTTTTTTTTTTTTAAATGGGGCTGGGAAAAGGAAGGGAGGTGGGAGGGTGCACAAGGATTTTAAAATGCTGCCTCTTCCTTCATGCAAATCCAGGCTGCTACTGTAGTCTGTGTTAATGCTGTTTACCTCCTGTAATCCTGCAAGAGGTAGGTTTAACATTTTTACCCACCTGGTGGTGTACCTATCAGACTGTTGGACAAAAAAAGCACGTTTTTTTCTTGTAGTTGTGTCAGTTTTACCATCCTCTCACCGTATCACTTAAGTAATTTTATCAAACCTTAAGAGGGCAAATACTAGTTTTGGGTGGTTGGCCCCCTCAGGCACAAACAGTTCTGGGACGGCTGTGCTGTGTCAAGCTGGGTCAGAGCCCTGGCAGTTCTGCCCCAAAAGGCACTCACCCTCCATCAGCTGCACACCAGGCCAACAGGCTCCGGGGCTCCAGCCCTTGGGTTGAAACTTATTTAACTCCAGAAGCATAGTGGAAAAATTGTATGAATCCTGGGCATATTTAACCCCCCCCCCCTTGGTAGAGGTGTGTTCTCAAGTTGTTCCCCTGCCCCGCCCAAGTGAAGGGCAGCTGCTTGCTTACATCAGTACTTTTTCATAGCTGCTCT